CACTAATTTCAGACGGAAAGGATTAGGGAGCGGCAGGACGAATTTGGTTGGGAGAAATAAACACACAATCAAATAATAAATGGATTTATTGGTTTAGCTCACGTGACCTGCTCGATGTGTTAATAAATGGATTTATTGGTTTAGCTCACGAGACCTGCTCGATGTGATGATCCAGGAAGAATTGGTAGCCCAGGCCATAGGTGCAGCTCGACGTGCCACCGTGGTTGCGTAGTGAGTCGTCGCGGAGACGTAGGCTGAGAGAATATGTCCAGCGAAATATCACTGAACGTTCGCGGAGAAGCGTCGGCACGCAGGGAAGGCGTAGGCAGGCAGCGCGGCACGATGGCGTCGTGCGCTTGACGTGAAGATGGCGTTGGTCTGCTGACAGAGATGCTGGCTTGAGTAGCTGACCGAGACGGAGTCAGAGAAGCTGACAGAGATGCTGACTGATGGCGTCAAAAATGCTGAAAGAAATGGCGTCAGAGATGCTGACCGAGATGGCGTCAGAGATGCTGACCGAGATGGCGTCAGAGATGTTGACCGAGATGGCGTCAGAGATGCTGACCGAGATGGCGTCAGAGATGCTGACCGAGATGGCTTCAGAGATGCTGACTGAGATGGCGTCAGAGATGCTGACCGAGATGGCGACAGAGGCGGGAAATTGCGCGTGATATTGAATTTATACGTTGCAGGGGTTTTCTGATGATGTAGGCTTGTTCACCGATTGGGGGTCAGCGAGATGTTGATTGCTTGAAGACTAACGGCAAATAGAACGCAATAGCTGAGAGCTCTATAGGGGCTGTGAGATGGCGCGAGGGCGTTGTTGCCATCGAGTAAACTGAGCTTTCTCCGAGCTCTTCTTATGATGGTGTAATTATTTATTGTGATAAACCTAATGCTTAATATGGTAAGTGTTAATATTAAAGTGAACATAAAAATTAATATGAACATAAAATAAGTTCTAGGTAGCGAGATATGGTATATATAATTTTAGTTTTATGTAGCGAGATCCGCTATATCATGGTCAGTTGAACCCAAAGTAGGACTATTTGGTTAAAACCCAACTCGTCGTGTTTGGAGGGAAGTGAGTGTGGAGTTGCATTCAAAGAACACCATACCAACTGTGAAGCTTGGGGATGGCAACATCCTATACTTTGGGGCTGTTCAGTGACGAGAAAAAAATTGACATCGAACAAAGCGTTAACCGTCAAAATGACAGAGTTTGGAGTCGGGATGAACAGCAACACGACGTCAAAATCACATGTCGTGATGGCTTGGGCCGCGGTAACCGCCACTGGGTGTTCCCCACTCGTTTTTGTCTCCTAAGGAGTGAAATTGAACAGTCAGCGATACATTTCGGGCATTTTGGAAGCTGTGTTGTGTTGCTCACCATGGAGTTTTCAACAAGACTCTGCCCCATCACATGGCTCAAACATGACCCAACACTGGATTCAGGGTCACATCCCAACGTTCATTATCAAAAATAAATGGCCCTCAAGAAGCGCTGATTTGAATCCTCTCGACTTTTCTGTGTGGGCTACTTTAGAGAGTAGGGTCTGCAGAACACCTCATGATTCTTTGGATAGTTTGAAGTCTAAATTGACACGAGAATGGGACTTGATCCTTCAAGAAATGTTGCGTCTCCTGTGAAGCTTTCCCGCGTAGATTGAGGCCGTCATTGAAAATAAGGGTGGTCATATTGAATAAATATGCCTGAGAATTGTTTAGGTAATTCATGGCTACTAGCTCATCCAATAAAAAAAATGCACCTGTTTGTTTCATTGAGAAATAACAAAAAACACGCATTGCCATAAATATGGCGGACCCTGTATTTGAAGTCTACCTAAGATGTCAATTACAGGCCTGTCTCATCACATTAAGTTGTAGAACTTGCACAATTGGTGACTGACTAAATACTTATTTTCCCCACTGTACATAGGCATCGCTTTCTCATCTTTGAATTTGATAGCTTTATCTATTTTCATTCAATTCTTCCACACCTAACCATATTTTTCAACTCCCTTATTTCTTTTCTCTCTTGGTTTTCATCTCACTATTTATTATCACCACTCTTTCGTCTCTTGGCCAGACGAGCCCTTGGTGTACAGGTACTTTGCTTGTACACGGGGATAGTGCAGACGGCTAGTAGATCTGGCAAGTGTCTGTCGCTTGGTTACTATCCGGCTAGTAAGCCTGTATACAAGGAGAGTATACAGTGCCGCTATCTTCTCGTTCGCGCCCGCCAGTGCGTCGTTAGAAGCCGTCGAGTGAGGTCTGCGAAGATGGATAGTGGGATTACCTTCAACAATCCGAGTCTGTACGTCGTTTTTATACTCTTTATTATAGCCATTAAAAATGCAGCGTCGGGAACAACTAAACCTTGACTAATAAGGTCTTCTTTCCGTTTCAAAATACTCGTTTCTTTCTTCATTTTGTTGGAGTAACCATCATGGCAAACATTATACTTTAATTCATATTTTTGGAATATTTCAAAGAATAATTGAATATCGTCTGGTATCCACTTTGTTGGGTTCTCCTTAGAAACATTATCGTTCAAACAAGCCATGATTCACTTGACAAAAGATACTTCGCAAGAGCGGCACAGATACTTCGAAAGAGCGGCACACCATGGCTGCATCAGCACTACTAGCCACTTCTTCAGCGCAGAAATCAACACATCGTTGTCCCTCTCGGTCGCGTTTCGGGCACTTGCCGGCGCATGCCTCTGAAGCGGCTGAACCCCCCCTATACACGAGGCTAGTAGCGTGGACAGTTCAAGCGGCGGATGAACTAGCGGCTACTCACTGGCTAGTACTATCCCTGTGTACAGGCATCTTTATAGCCTCGCACAGATTACACTTTCCTACCAATGCACACTTATGAACCTACTTAATCACCCGTATGTTCACCATATATGTTATGGGAGTAACGCTGGCACAAACTTTATTTGGCTTAGCCAGCGGAGGGATTAAGACGCATTTGAATTTTATGCTTTAATCGCACCTCAAAACGCAGTGGATCTGAAAATAAATACCATACAAAGGAATCAATAACTAGCTAAATATGATTAAAAATTAACATTAAACCAAATATGATCATAATGACAAATATGGAAATAAGGAAGAACTTCTTAAATTCATCACGAAATTGACTTACGTATGTGCTTGGCCCAACTTTCGTGAATCAGAATGAAAGATTGTTCCACCTTTGCATTTCCGTTCCTAATACATGAAAAGTCTTACTAGCACACTGAGTGATAGCTGCGGGCTAAACAGATGACAAAAATAAATGAACGTGAATACACATATAACCGTCATGATATTTCTCAAGTAATATTTCAATATTTCAAAGTAGTAAATTTAGAATACTGAGAAAGGGCATAACACCGAATAACCTAGTCATCGTGCGTCGAGATAAGGAACTGACGTGCGAGACGTAGCGGCTAATAAACGGTTCCTAGAATGTTGCCACTATATAGGTGCATGAAAAAAATGCACATAAAGAGAACTTAATACTAGACAAGAAAATAAATCCTGTTGCACAGGACAGGGAGCGCAGCCGTGCACCACCAATTTTGTGCACCAATAAGCCCAGAATCGAACGCCTTAGATCTCTCCGGACCTACACCAGTCAGCCGTGCACCACTCGGTTTTGTCCTCAGGCCTTGACCACCACCTGCCATGCACCACCAGGCCACGGATCGAATCTGGCTTCCGGGCATCGTTAAACTATGTAATTTTACGATCACCGCATCTGAGGTTAGGTTTCAGATAGCATAGTTCTGTTCCAAAATTTATCGTCCTTCGACAAGTGGCCGTTCGACCGAGGGCTGGCTCGACCCACGGCCTAGATACGGACGGCTTGAAGTGTTGAAGGCTACGTTCCGGAAGGCAGGAATCATGATGGTCCATTACATCCAGGGCAGTTGTGGTCTTCGGCAGGCGACCTCTGATTCTCACTAAAATATTTTGAAAATATTAAGCTGGAGTATGCGATCGTTTTCCATTGTGTACGAATTTCTATTACAATAATTCGAAAAATTTCTAACCTTAGATATTAACAACAGATCCTAATATTTTGTAAGACGCGAATATTCTGACAAATTCAATTGAGATTTTACAATTAATCCCTAAATGCTGACTTGATCTCAAGTATCGTTAAAGTACAAAGTTGAGTGTAGTTGTCAAGTCGCGAGTCGAGTGTAATATCAATTTAGACGACACTCATGATCATTCCCAGAGCAGGCAGAGCTTGAGTCATTACTGAGTAGAGCTCTGAGCCGAGGGTCGCAAGTGATGCATAGCTATTGATTATTAGATTTCGAAGTATAAATAGGCTATAGTGCGCTCTATTTACTTTGACTTCGTTTGGTAGGAAACCCATTTGCATCTATTATTTGGTAACTTATTTTCCTAATGCCGTCATACAGAAACTTAATAAAGCTTTTTTCATAGCCGTAATGTTTGTTTGAATAACTATGAAGGCAACGTCATTTGCATGACAGAACGTGTGTGCACCAAGACACGTTTTTCCGTAGCGCATGGCAGTGGAGAACTAAGCAGGAGCAAATAGCAAGTCAGTGTGAACTGTGAAGCCTAGTCAATGCTCTGAGGTTATGTGTAGCCTTACGCGGAATAGTGGAATTTATTAATTTAATAGACGAACAATTGAGAAATACATTTAAAACTGTCTTTTTCTATCTAATATTGTGAGTAATTAGATAATTCACAAATTTGACCGCTATATTACTCTAAAATAAAGCTGACTCTGGCTTTTTTATTTGTACATCATCTTGTCCTTGTCCTGTGCTCATAGATACGTAGGTAACACATCGACATCAATGACACACACAGTGATGCCGTCGTTAAATAATCGTTAATTTAAAAATTTATCGTGAAACTCTTTAAACGTATGTAGTATAAGTAATTATGATAAAATTTGTCAGAAAGATCAGCTAGGAGCTAGCTAATCCTAAAGTACCTAAAGCAGGAGGTACAGTGGCTGAGTGGCATTAACGTTGCAAATAATGCGACATGCGTCATTGTTGGATAACTGACAGTATTTGAATGAACCTTTAAAAATAAAATTTTCGTGTAATTTAATACACCGATGATAAACTTTTTTCAGTATTCGTCTGATCGTCTCACCGCTCTCACGTTGCCAGCTGCTGTAACTATTAAAGCAAAAGATGGCGGGTGATTTGACACGTAGTCTCTTGACAGTAGGAGAATTTCTGGAAAACCACAATTCCGATGTTTTTCTTAATGTTTTGAAACTATATAATACCGCAATTGATGTTAAGGCATCCTCACGGGTCAAAAAGTCGAATTTACCCGAATTAGACGTGTAAGTATAAAAATTGCAATTTGAACTTTCGAAAATGATCACAATATTGAAAAACACTTGTGTAAAATGTTGGTACCTAAATTCTGTAGCCAGCGAAAAGTACTAAGTTAAAAATTGCAATGTGTAACATATATCTTTTGAATAACTACTACCATACCTGAACGATGAATGTTCATTATACTGTATAATAGGTGGATCAATGATAATGAAATTATAATGTGCCTGTTCTGAATTTTTCATCCTAATCATCAGGCTTGTAAGTTGTGACTGCAGACAGAAATGTATTTTTCATTCTAAAAATGAGTCTCAGATCTTTCATATTTGTTCAGCTGATCATTTAAAAATGAGTATTATTTAAGTAATACAAAAATAGTTCTTATTCCTTAACAGATAATGTGGTCATAATAAGTCTAGGTATCATGTATGGATAGTTAATTATAGTTATAGTGTAAAAAATCATGTATCCTGAATGTTAACTTGTTAAGTTTGAGATGGCACTTGGTAGGAATTAATGTAAAACATGTGTAAATTTAACATTGAATGTTTAATAAAGACCTGAAATTGGATCTTCCTTATATAATCATAGTGGCAAAGCAGCAATTTTTTTAAACTCTTCCTCAAGTTCATTTTTGAGTCCTATAAATAGACTAGAAAGTATCTTGGATACCAGCATTTTCATACATAAGAAATTGATTAAAATATTGAGTAGATGAGGAAATTAAAAATGAACTGATTCTAAAACATCTCTGGTTTACCACTATGCTTATATTAGTCAGCCAATATTTTAGGATCAAGAAGAGACATGGCCAGGCCAAACTGATCTAGAACATGTGTGAACCACCACCAATTCATAGAATTCCACCTTGCAAAGCTGGTCCTGGGCTTCCACGAGTCCATGACACACTATAGTTAAAGGCAGTAAAATGCATTTCATGTCTTATATGTCTATATTTAATATTTATGTGCTGGACCATGGAAGTGCAAAGATTTTTATTATGGTTTAAGCAGTATCATTGTTTTTCTTTTTGCATACTGTTTGCATGTTGCCTCAGCCTATAATTTCAAATTAGCTTTCATTTTGAAATATTGAGGCACATTTGTAAGTTTTTTTGTGCTGCAAGTCATTATTGTAAATTTGTAATGTGTTCTGTAGCAGTTGAATGCAGTGTAATGAATGTTGAATGTAGCAGTTTTTTTTTTCAAAGCATAGGTAATGCATAAGATTAACTATAGGTACTTAAATGTCAATTTCTATTTTGATTTTTTTTTCTGATTTCAATTAGTTCCTTTTCCTCTTATTAATTAATTAAAAACATTATTTTGCGTCTTGGATTTATTTTTGTTTCAACTCTAATTTCAAAATGTCTAACATGAATTTGTGTGTCTAGGTGGTTCCAATCAGAGCTGCCAGCTGCCCTCAAGAGTAGAAGGGATTCTCCTCACCTTCTCCACAGCGAGCTGGTCAAGCTCATGGAATGGAAGCTGTCCAGGGGGAAGTTCAGGCCTCGTTTGGTAGATCTTGCTGCCAGCAACACTAACGAGCTGGTCAAGCAAGTAACTACTGAGGGACTGAAGCTAGCAAAGGAAAACGAGCCATCCCGTGCTCTTGCTGTTCTTTGTAAGGTTATGATGGATAAAATTAGATATATGTATATAAATTGCTTATCTCATGTTATGATTTCCAGATCACAAAATTGAGTGAAATACTGGTTGTAGTGTGTGCTGTTGTTCAATTATTTTTCGTTTACCTCCTAAAGATTATTGTATTCTCGTTGTCTCCCTGTCAATAAAAAAATATTCCTATTTCATGTGTGAAATTTTTTTATAGGTATGTATCGCGTCGTAGAATACATTGAGTCATATACAAGTGCTGATTTTGTTGAAGTTTATTGTGTTTTGTTTGAATTATAATGAATAAAAATTTATTCATTTTAATTTTGAAGTTTTAATATGTTAAATTGACGCGTTTTTCGAGACCGAATGAATATAATTAAGGAGAGAATAATTATTTTTACTACAGGCAAGCTTCGGGGCGTAGGTCCAGCCACGGCATCATCCATCCTAGTAGCTGCAGCTCCCGACAAGTACGTCTTCTTCGCTGACGAGGTCGCCCATGCTGCGCTCGGCACCACGAGCCTCAAATATTCCGAGGCAGAGTACCTGAAGCTCAATGACGTCATCATTGAAGCTGCCAATCAGATCAATAAGGAGCAGGCAATGAATGAAGTGAGTTTATACTTGATTTTTCGTATCAAAGGTAAGAACTATGTTTATGAAAACAATTTATGCATTATATTAGACGTTGACATGTTCTATGTATCAGATTAATCAAATACTGTTCACGATTTTAATTAACATCTATTATCAAACAAGGATGTTGAAGATTCAAGCATACGCTATTGCATTTATTATTTTTAGCGCATTTTCTCATTTATGGAAAAATAGGCGCTATTGTGCTCGTCATGTCCGTCTGTCTGTCCATGACTTGACGTTTTCGTCGACGAGGAAATGCGCTCTTTGTCACTCACTGCAGCGAGTACAGAGTTATATTTTTTGTCATTTAAGCACACGCCGTTGCATTGATTTTTTCGTCATTTTCGCGAGAATTTTTTTCGCCATTTTTGCTGCAATTACTGATTCTACTGTCTGAGTGAAGTAGAGTTAGTAAGAGTTATTTCGACTGGACAGTTTTTGATTTACCTCAGTTCCTTTTGTGTCGAGAAGCACACAGCAGAACCTTGGCGGTGACAATAGTATCAACTAGCCATTAATATCTTCCTATTCAAGTTGTTGATACCAGATAATAGGAAACTATATTTAGTGATCTTGCATGAATTCATTACGAACTATTTTCCCAAATGACGACCTAATATACCTAAGTGACGTTTTTTTTTCAGTCCGAAGGTACTTGCGTCGAAAGGAAGTTTTGGACGCCACACGACGTAGAGCGAACTGTCTGGTGTTATGCAATCCTTCGTCAGAACAAGCCTGAGCTTTTGGTAAAAGCTTTGATAACTTCGAAAAAAACTCAAACGTAATTCCGCGAAAGATCAATATGTTCTCAAAAAAGGATAAGTAGAAATTTATCTAATAATTTAGTTATGGCAATGTGCTTTGAGGCAAAGGTGGGAAGATATTGATCGTACAATTTTTTTTTAGAAGAGGACCGTGCATTCCATTTACCCGAGGCTATGCATTTTTTTTACATGAAATTGTTTTTACAGTGAAAGTGTCTTTCATTCCTCCTAAACTGCAGATTTTTCAAGCGTTCAAGTTTGTTAAGCTCTCTGCAGACTTTAAATACAAGCCGTAGATGTAGGGATGCGAGAACAGCAGATATCACTTTGATGTTCCTTGCCAGCTGCGTCAAATAACATAACATAACATATAACATAATAATGTCGGCGCTGAAATGTAGGCCTGATGTGGCCTGTCGCCGATTCTTTTCCTTTTCGTGCCTTGTTCATAGATCTAAACTCGTGTCATTTGACCGGATCTTTTCATGACTGACGATAGTTTGAAGTAGCTACTAGCCTTTACCGGGTTCGATAAGGAGCTAGGCATTTCAAATCTGAACATATATTTTTCCATAGCTTTATCTAGTCTTCTGTAAATGACCCCTATGAGAAGGCTATCTTTGCCTTTTAGAGTAAGTTCACACCACACTGATTCTCTAGCTGATTGATGCTCTGCAGATAACTTAACTTGCTGGGCCCCATAAGAGGTTCTAACCCACAGAGTTACACCTCTACTCTACTGCACTGCACTTCACTGAAGGATGAACTGCACATGCACCTAACCTAATGGAACGAAACGACGTAGCAATTGGGGATTCCGAGGATGACATGTCGATTCAATTTATTTTACTGCCTTGGACAAAGTTACCAAGGTAACCCTATCACAGTTCACTTGGTAGCTGCCCGCACATCGAAAAGTTTGCTGAAGTACACGTTGTTTCCATGAACCTTCTTGACACTTGGCAATTTAAGACAAACGTTGATTTCAAGTCCTTTTTCAAAATTGTCAAAATATATTCCATTCAGAGTATCTTTCAAACTGCGAATTTCAGAAGTGTGAGTGGATGGAATTGTTTCTGAATCTGGTAACAAGTCAACATCCGCCTCACCTGAAAAACAATTAATTGTCAAATTATCGAGCTCTGGGCGATGAAAGCTCAATATTACAGATCACTGAAGGATGAACAAATGAATTCAAAGATCATCTTATCTGTATTGATAACAAACGATGAAAACCATCAAGTAATTTTGATATCAAAGAAAGAAAACGGAGAAATATAACAATGTGGAGAAGGTCAAGACAAAATTAACTGCCCCTGCGATGCTAACGAATTAATAAGTAAACTTCGTAAGCGTCGTTGGAAAAAAGAGAACTCAATTTCAAAGAGAATATCTACACTGCAATAACTCTAGAAAGCGTTTAACAAGCGAGGCTGTATCAAAGAACTATTCAATAATTTATTTAGTTTATATACTAGAATTGTACGTAATTCATCCCTGGAAAGGTTTATTAGGCCGAGATCATCAGCAAAGCATCACAGAAAGTGAACATCAACGGCCAGGGGAGAAACTGTCGTCTTTGATATATGCCTCGCTTGCCATATCTGAGGTCCACAACACGACGAAGTCTTAACAAATGTTGCAACATTGTTAGAAAAATAGAAATTGCATCCTTTCTCAAACAATATACAGTAAATCCTGATGAATTACTCTATGATACAATCTGAGAAAGTCTACTGCTCACGACGTTATTAAGTATCGAATAGGATTTATGCTCCTTTCGACTCAACGAGACGAGCAACAATGAAGCAGCATTTTTTTTGCGGTCCTATTATTTTCACAATATTATCATTAAAGCGTTCAACCACACATAATAAACCGCAGACACATTCTCAACTCCGAATCGAAACAAGAATACGTCTTATCGAGTCCATGGAAAAAACGCCCACGAGTTAGTATGGAGGTATTTATCGTAGCTGCAGCATGATATGTCAAGTGCCTTACGTGTGAGAGGCTTAAACTACAGACGATACAGAGGGCCTGGCCACATCGTACGAATGCTCTTCGTAACCAAAAAGCTTAGCCACCAACAGTGTTACGCCCACACAAGCTTCAAAACGCATGGCGCCGTACTGCTACACAAGTAACATTCTAAAGCATCTGGAAATATTGCCTTTCCAATCTAGCAACACAAAATACTAGTCTACTTTGTTAATTTGCTCCATCAATACGAAGTAGTAGTAGAAACCTTCTCAGGCATGCAAAGGGCAGGCGTTTTTCGCCTATTCTAGTGTAGGTTAACGTCAAGAAAACTTTTTCTTGTCTCGGTGTGCAGTGAGAGGTCTGGCCCGATAACCTCGAGAACTCTGGCGTTTTTGGGGCGCGAGAGGCCTTCTTAGCCACAGGCATGGAACGCAGTCACGGGAACGCTAGGGCGCTTCACTTCTCCCAATTAGACGTAGAGTCACCAGCAGCGTCTCCTGCAGTGACCCCCGAGGAAGAGTGGCCTTCTCTGTACTCCCGACCTTCATCTTCGTAGCTGCTTCCTCCTTCCTCGTCATCGCGCTTCCTCCTCCTGTCGTCGCGACCGCCCATACCACCTCGTCCTCGACGACCGCCCCTATACCGTTTGCCGCCACGTCGCCCTCCACGGCCGCCCCTGTATCCACTGCCTCCAGTATTGCCTTCCTCCTCGCCGTAACCAGCATCGCCGTTCTGCTGCTCACTTTCAGCCCTGGAAGCTTTTGTCCTGGCTTTTTCAACCACAACTTCCTGGTCCAAGATTTTCAGCCCCTGTAAGGCCGAGACAACTTCGTCGGCGTGCTCGGCGTCAATGCGACTGAAGCGAAGGAACGCGAAACCAGCATAGGTGCGACGCTGAATATCAACACCACGGGCTTTCTCGTCGATCACCTCCTTCACAGCTTCTTTGATCTCACGGGTTCTGAAACGAGAAGGTTTGAATTAAACTATGGTAGTTTCCTGCTAAAATATCTTGACTTGCATCCCAGAATTGCCTGTAAGACCTAAGAATTCTGATTTGGCTATGACCGGGCACAACTATTTCCAGAAAACTCTTAATCATAACACTCGAAACGAAAATGTGTGGTAACAACTAAAAATCAAAGCTCTCTCTGAACTCACACGAAACCTACGCTGCAACAAGCCACAATAACCATAAAGCAGCCAAGCCACATGTAACCAAGAGCCTCACCTCGAGTGGGGCGGGACGTTGCCCAGGAAGACCGAGAAGGGTGCTTGGCCATAGTAGCCTCTTCCTCTGCGGTTGTAGCGGGATCGTCCTCGGCCTCTGACGGGCATTTCTTCGCCATCGCCGTTAGTTTGGCCATCGTTGAGACTCGCGTCTCCCTCGCGATCCTGTTGGTTGCTCTGGCGGACGCTGCGCCGCACGATGCGGTTGCGCTTGTTCACTCCGACCGTCACCTGCGAGCATACGTGGTGTATAGAACGCGTGTAGAAACAGCGGGGGCGCGCGAAGAATAGTTGCGTGCAAGTGGTAGTTGTGAGCAAGCGATGCTTGTAAGAAATTTCTAACACTCTGACATTATGGATCAATTCTGCACGTTTACAATAGTTTACATCCTGACAATTAAAAACTGACAGTAAAATTTAGATACTCATTCTCACGGAGCTTGAACACGTCTTCACTATTACCGTTTCACTGAAAGTCAAGTACAATAACTTAGTGCAAACAAAATTTTAAAGTTATTTGACGTCAACAACTTAGCTGGACGAAATTTTTGATAATTATCAGAAAGTACATTTTTCTCTGCATTGTCGTATTAAATAGACTAGCTATATTCATCTCTCAAATTTAATTTGTATATATTCATTTTCCCCATTCACTGGATGCAGAACCAATTTAGTTACTCAAGGGACATCATATAAATTAATCACCCAGTAAATCTCTGAGATTGTCACAGAACACTTGAATGCTCGAAAGAAAGATGATGCAAGTACATCTTCAGGTGGTTATGTTTGGAGGCGACACTGCCCCAGCACAGTAGAATATGCTGGCAAATGAAAGGAATCATCCAAGATTAGGAAAAAAACAGAAATAAAGGAAGTGAAACCCATACAGTGAAACGACCTTGAATTCTGTCCTTAAGAAATCGAGTTAATGCTGGTGCTGAAACACAAGGAAGAAATTAACAGAAAATGCGTGATTGATGCAGCAAGTGTGACCGGGTCACTGCAATGCCTGAACACAAACTAATTGCGAGCGGCATTCACGCGATCTTCTAGAACACTTGTGTTGGGTGCAATCAGTCGCCAGGATTCATGTATATATATATTCGGTAAGCATAACAACTGAAGCGGACTTGAATTTCGTGAACTTGAATTTTTCTAAATTTTTTAGCCCTTATTTTCGTGAACTTTCCCTTAACGAAAGTGCAAATTGCTTACTGTAAGGTAGTGGTTGCTGAACTTCTTGTGATCCGAGCATCACTGTGCGATACACTACCACCAGAGTCCACTGCTCACCACTAATATAATATCACTACTACACCTTATATTTACTACACAATATAATTTAATTAATGCGCTAATAATTAGCGCATTGATTAGTTTGGATTTAACAGCGAGGAGCTGCGGATAGGTGGGGCCATGCGGCAACAGTTGCAAATGGTGTCCTAAATTTTACATGTTGGCTAGTAAATATTGTGAAGTAAAAAAAATCACTAAATGTGTTTACATACCACCTGAAAATTTTTCACGAACCATAATACATATATACCAGTTTGGAAACGACTGTTCTAAATAAAACTGAATCATCATTGTTATTGTTCTTATTTGTCTTGTTGGTTGATTCATTAATAGTCAGCAACAAAATCTTGTGATGAAATAATTCAGAGCAAAATTTCGTTGAAAAATATAATATTGAATCAATAAGCTTATTACATAAATGAACTACAAAATTTATTCTACACCTAGGAAGGGCATCGATACCTACAGCAATATCCGCACCGCGTGACACTTGATTGATATATACATTAAACTAATAAATTACAGTGATATAGCCCCGTCAGTTCCAAAAGCAACACTCACGAGTATTACTTTCAGATTGAAATATAACCATGCTCATACAAGAACAAGAGCAATATTTACCTGCAGTCTGTTGCCGTCTTCGTCGAGACCTTCTTCACCACCCTCGTAGCGACGACTCGCTCCTCCACCTCGTCCGCGCCTCAAGCCCCTCCTGCCGCGTCCACCACCACGTCTGCTGGCGGCCCTGGCCTCTCTGTTGGCCTCACGCGTCGCCTCCACCTTCTTCCAGTACTCGGCGATCTGATCCTCGCTCGGCACTGGATCCTCGCCAGCAATGCGCGGCTCATGTCCAGCACTGTACCGATGTAATAAAAACAAACAGTGAAAGATGAGCTCAGTGAAGAACTATAGTTAGAAAATTAGCAAAAAAGAAGATACCCTTATCTGTTTAAATTTTATAGCACAATGATGGTACTTGATTAAACATTATGCTTCACCTTGAACCTGACCAGAATTGATTAAATACCAATGAGACGAGTTTGAAATAATTTTTTTGCAGAAGAAAGGGGTTAAATTTGTTATCGTAAAAGATCGTAGCTAAGTAGTTCGCAAATTATGGTCTCCCATATTGGAAACAAAACATAAAAATATTATTAAATGTTCTGCCACTCGAAGTAACAAGTCTAAAAATTTGGGCATAGATGCAACTCTAATCTTAAATAAAAGTTCAAGCTTAAACTGACTCCTTGAGTCGTTGCCACAGCGTACGAAGGATCGCCACTCTGTAGAACTTGTCGGCGTCAATGAGGTTCCAGAGGATGCCTGCAGGCCGCGGGGCGTGCTTGTTCACAGGCAGAACTTGGGTGGGCGTCACGATCAGGTCAACTGGCACGTCGTGCACGGAGAACAGACGGTCGGGCAAACGGTCAAACACCTGGAATATCATACAAACTTGTTTACTTAAGTCTGTAATTGAAGAAAACGTAGCGTTTTGCTCCTGTCGGAAGTTAATTATCAGAAAGACGTAGCGATGTGTTGCTGCCTAAAGTCTAACATCACAGAAAAGTAAGACTGTGCTGCTGTCAAAGGTCTAATATCACAAAAATGCCGCGCAGTGCTTCTGGTAACAGTTTATAATGTCACATAAACGTAGCGCTGTGCTGCTGTCAAGTCTCTAATATTGCTCTTAACTTGACATAAGTAGTGCCATGCTGCTTTTAAACGCCAGTAATATCATGGCGATGCTGTTTTCAAAATAGTCATAATAAAAAAACTCGGAAGAATCTCACGACTATAATGTTGTTCAAATGTTGGTGCTAGTATGCAATAAAATATAAGCCAACAAAGATTTCTATGTAGGTATAATAAAGAAAAATTGGTCATTGAGTAACTCGATGTAGAATTCATCTTAATCAAAATGGCCAATAGATTTAATTTGAATGTGAAGAATGAGGATGATATACCTGACAATCATGCACAGTGGTGACAATGAGAGTATTTTCATTGATGCACTTCATGTGACGCATCATCCCATACTCGAGGTCAACGAAGCCTTCTCCCTTGCCGATACGCTGACCTGCACAAAAAAGTCATATCAACTCAGTTACTTATGACAACATGCCTTCAAAGTCATATCAATTTTGTTAAATAGTAACTAAGAAACAAACCAAAAATTAGATGAATTGGTGTAGCCTGTACAAGATTAAACAATTCCATATAAATTTACATTTATGAACCATGTCTAAAAGTGATTGAAAATTAAATCAATTTATAAACAACTTGATGTTTATCGTTTTTATAGCATAAAGTAAAACAGAAAGCAGTAGTTAATTTTTCTTTACCTTTGGCCTGTATGATGAAAGTTGAAATTTTAACTCACCACTCTTTGAGACAGCAACCGATCCAACAACAACCAAATCAACTTTGGCATCAGCATCCAGGTCCAGAGAAGTAGAGAATCGCTTCATGCCGTCGTTTTGGGCAAGCAGACGCAAGTTCTCAGTGGTGTCATCGCCGGCACTTCTGCTGTCCATTCGGTTGAAGAGGCCCGTGCGTAGCCCAGGTGTGGGTACCAGCAGCACCTTGCCAGACTGCCACCAACACATAATACAAGGTTATTACCCAGCAGAGCTCTTAATGTCTGGTAGTAAGTCAAGTTATAGTTATTATCAATAAAGCAACTTGCAATAGAATGCAAATCATTGAAAAATATCATTTGTATTTTCTTTTAAACTGCCTGGGTAAGAATTACCAATTATATAATAACCTCATGATCTCTCAAGATAGGACGACTAAGGGCAAGTAACTATTTCTTATAGAAGCACAGTTGGATAGTGCAATAAAAATTATACTATGATTAAGTATCAAGACAGTACTCCTTATGTTGGATGAAATACAAATTTGAAGTAGCAAATTCACCCACAGCAAAATGCAAATATGCTGAAATTATAACAATCTGGAATATTATCCCTACAATGATAATTTACAGGTAACACACCTGCAGTGTTAGAAACCGCACTTCTCCTTGAGGCTTATCCAAGTTGACCTTAACTGACTTGGCAGTCTTGAAACAGTCAAGTTCAGCTAACTTTGCTCCAGCCTCATCAGCACCCTGAGAATTTAAATTTTTTGGTCAAGTTAGATGAACAGTGAGCAACAAAAATATTCCTGATGTACAGAATCGTCAAAAAATTTTACTTCCATTTGCAATTACAGAATATTTACTCTGGTTTTGGAGACCTCATTGTCAGCTTTAAAATTTTATTGATTCATTAGCAAATGGTGAATCATAAAATACTTCAATTTCAATAAGCAACTTTGAAACACAGCTTAAAAACCCTAGGATGCAAAATCCAATATATAATAATATACATTTAAAAATTACTTTTTTAAAGACAACACTTCTGAAGAATCCAGAGTCTCCAATGTTACAGATGTACAATGAATTTCTAATTTTATTTTTGAATATTTAAATAATTAATTTTTCAATTTTGTAATATTTAATTTTTTTTCAAAATTATTTCAATTGATTCATGCATTGCCCCAACTTCACACAAGTGTGCAAAATTTCACATCAATTTGACAGGTAAAAGTGTGTCATATCAATTATAAGATTTGTAGCCGACAAAATTATTTTTCAATTTTTTAATAATGAAAAAATAAATTTTTATTTTCAAAATTATTTATTTTGTCATTTGATTCATGCACTGTCTCCAACTTTATGCAGGTGTGCAAAATTTCAGATCAATAGGATAAGTAGAAGTGTATTAAATTTTGATTATAAGATTTGTAGCAGACAGACAGACAAACAAGAAGTGAAGTTAAAGAGAAGTGTTGTAAAAATTATGGAATGCCTTCAGTCAGCTAATGAATGAATGGAGAAACACAAGCCATTACCTTGAAGTTGGGGATGCGACGAAACACCGACAGGGGGAAGTTAGCCAAGTCATTCTCTTGGAAATGCTTCCATACTTTTTGCCTGATGTCCAACTTAGTTAGACCTGACAACAAAGTATACAGTGAAATATTTACATTATCACATATTATGGGTGCAAATGAAATTTTTACTAAGCCAAGCCTAAATTTTTTTCAAATTTTTCAAGTATTTAAATGAAAGTTAAGAATTTAAAGAAAACCAAGCAAACAACATTCAATAGGCTGAATTCTGAACAGAGTAAAACTAAATTCAAATAAAAAGTTTTGCACAAAGGTTACAACTCCAGCCAACTAACCTTCAGCATCTTCAATCTGAATAGAATCTGATGCAAACATGACTGCAAGATGAATCCTGTTGAGGAAATACAGAGTTGAATCAGAAACAGAACTAGACACATTCATGGTTTAAGTGGCAACATCATTGCTCTAATAATTATATATCCTGCTTAGAAATTTAATCAACATTTGGCCAAGAATATAGAATTAACCAATAAATATCAACAGCTAAAACTAGATAGTTTTTCATCATCCTAATTCAATGATAACATTCCATTTTGTAAAACACCAAATCCAAGATGTGCATAAACTCAAGCATGTACATTTGCAAATATACTGAATAACTGGATATTAAGTAATTAAGCTAGTGCCTAATATCCAGTTATTACTATTAGGCTTAAGTATCAAGTAAGCTTGTTAAAGATTGTTGGAGATTAGAAAATAGACTCGACAATTTCCACAACTAAAATTCTTTGATTTCCGCTGAAATAACATTGTAAGATAACAGTTTGCAAACATTCCATAAGCTTATACTTTTTTCTTTAGATTTTAATGCTATGTACAAAATACTCACAACTAGTCAACAAAAAATAGAAGATCATTTCTAAAAACATCATCATACATTATTGTCTCCAGGATGGTACTTTCTTCTTGGAAATGGAATCAATGTCATTAACTTCAGATGTAAAACTGGTTTGTTTCTTTGCATCCACAAGACCATTGAGTTTTGACTGTGTGAGCTCAAGATATTTACTTGGAGATCTTTCCAACATTTGTTTTCGTACATTGTCTGTGTAGACTTTGCACCTTCTTAATGATTCATGCTTCTTTTCATTTCTATCATGCACTAATGCTTTTCTTAAATGGACCATTTTCTCATCTCTCTCCTGATAGTGAACTAATTTTTCTTTCGAAACATTTGTCGATTTTTTTGTTAACTTTTCTTTTTCCATTTCACATTTATTTTCTTTCATGCGTTGATAGGCCATCAATTTTTCTTTTATTTCATGTCTTTCTTTAGAGGAATAAAGTAACCTTTTCTCAGGCCTTGTAATTGGAGCACTGCAGAGATTAGGAGTTTGACATTTTTTGTACAATCTCTCAACACATTGAACTATCTTAGGATGAAGGTTTCTGTCTGCTCTCATACCACTCTTTGCTGAACCAGAAGGAAAATTAATTTCATTTTCTGGCACATAAACAATTGGACGCAAATTTAATTCTGATTTAGCTTGTTTCCATTCAGCTAACGATTCTAGAATAGCTGCTCTTTTTTTCATGCTTCTTTCTTGTGCACCGAGGTATTCAAGAATTTCCTCTGAAGTTTTGAATGGCATTCTTGATTGACATTTTTGTAATCTCAGGTTAGGATCTTTGTACCTTTGGCACACATGGCGTAGGGCATTAACTTCTGCTGCCGACCAAATGGAAACCAGAGAATTTGTAGGTTTCTTCTCTATTACCTCTGTGCAGTTTACAAATTTATTCAATTTTGATTTCAAAGTAATGCTAGGCCTACTAGGTCTTGGATGACTGTACTGTTCCTTTTTGTTATTCATATTTTGATACGCTTCATATTCACTGATTTGGAGATACATAGATTCAAGTGCTACACTTAATTGGTTCTCATTTTCCATCAAATTGTAATGTATAGCATTCCCTATTTTTTTAGCAGAGCTGAGTAAGTCACAAAAATGCCTAATTTTATTTGTAAGGCCTTTCTCAACTTCATCTCCAAATAAGTTTGGGCCACTAAATATCTCAGTTTTTGAAAGGCTATTGATAATATCTTCAATACAATCAACAGCATCTATAATATCTATCAGCAATGAATCAAATTCATCAATATTAACACGATAGTACAATTCTTTATCGCGCTGCAAGAGCAGACTACGCAAATGAATACATTCTTTGCCTTTGGAAGCAGATGCCGGAACGCTTGATCGTTTTGGCAGACATTTAACACACGCGGGATTTGACATGCCGGGAACTTGGGCCCCCTTGGCATGCAAAGTGGCTATTTGCGCACATAATTTGGAAATTTCTTGGTCAAACTGGCAACCAAACGACATGGCGCTGCCTACTAACGTTCCCTTGACAATGAATGAAGAAAACCGATCGATAACTCGGTAATTACTAGGAAACCAAGCGGCTTATCGTCGAAGTGGGGAGCCGCCTCGTGTTGCCCGCACGACAGGCGTTCTTTCGTTGGAAAATATTCCTTGCAAGTTGCAACCCAAAATTTACGACATTCAATACAAATATGAAATTTGGCAAATTATTTCTAAAATTCAATAATATTTAATACAAATATAATTAACTCACCTCACACAACACTCTTCTTATAGTACTTCGCTCACGACCACGCTTGAACTGTCCAAAGCTTCTCGACAGCCATCTAGCTATGCACGAGGAATTGGAAAAGCCAAAAATTGAAGAGAAGTTTTTCATTACAGTTTTTGTATGAATATGTACAAAAGTATTTCTTAAAGGAAGATGATGTCGATTTTTCGTAAAATCTTCCTTTATTTATCGAAAAACAATCAATGAAAGTGAAAAAATGAAAACATATCGAAATATCAAAGCCGAAAATTTCTTTTAGAAATTAAGTAAATTAGTTTTTATATCTATTTAACGAAATTTAAATACAGTATTTTACCTAATATTCTTAGTTGAAATAAATTTAATGGCATTGCATTCCCTAATATTGGATTCACTAGAATCTGGGAGCACGTGTTTACTTGCATTATCTGATGTAATGCACAAATACAATTTAGATAATTTTTTCCGTGAGTCTTAGATGGTATTTACCGCGCAAGAAATCAAATACGTTTCTTCCATCACTATCAATAAATCGGCTAAAGTTTTATTCTAGATGTCTGGCAGCCAACAAGGATTCGTCGTGTACCGGTATTATCTAGTTTAATTTTAGATGAGCCTGCTTTCGATATAAGATCTTGACACGTAGATCTCCATAATTTTTATCTAACGACATTCTGTCTTCAAGACGTGGTAAGATCTCAATATTATAAACTCCGCCAAGAAAATTCACATAAATCTTCTTGAGGGTTTAAAATGGATGTATCATTCCTACTAAGTAAATTATACAGAAATTGGATTACTCTCGGAATGGTATTTGACTATTTTGGTCGTCTACACAGGTTTAATTTCATGCTTACTTACAAGATACTTCCAAGATGACCGGCTGAATATGAAGTGTAGGCCATCAGCCGTATCTGTTATGTACTTCATAGATAGTCACTTGTCTAGCAGTGTTTTCTGTCGTGCAAGAATTCAGAAGTGAGTCCATATGATCATATGATCATAAATAGGCTATATTCATATCTTGTTCGATAAATAAGTGAAAGATATTGTGGTAAAAAAATTGGTAGAAAATAAATTATAAGAATAAGCGAAGATCTCTCGAATTATTAGACGGGTTTCCTGAATACGGATCGTTATTTTCATTACATATCTTCTGCCCACCACCTGATAACATTAACTATAAGTAACTGTATATACGATCATTGTACAAATACGTTGCGATCGCAATACCTGTTTACTCTAACTATGTAGAATGTATAATCTAATGAATGGATTGTGATCGTTTTCTTTCAGTTATAACCTTGGTACAACACTGTCGCTTTCCAATAGTTATTTGTCATATGCTGGTAATCATTTCGGGTTTCCGGGACACAAGTTGCGTATCCTAAGAAGGAATTGATGGAAAATAACTAATTTTATCATTGTCGGATTGATGAAGAAAACACAAATTTTAACTAATAAATTTCTTAGGTTTAATACTGACATTGATACTGAAATAAACTTTGTTTAAGCTTACCCGTTATAAGCTGACATCTTTTAATATCAATAAATCAGCCTGCATAAGAATGGAGTACTTAATTGTTTTATCTAATTAATTAGAAATTGTTACTAATTCCTGGAATAATCCTTTATTAGTACTAAAAAGATATAAAAATTAGTACTAAAATTTTATATCTTTGGAAGACTATATTTATTGATTCAAAATTACCAGCTAACTCTTATCAACGCTGATAGCCCAAATTACCTATCATATAACTTGACGACCAGCCAGTTGCAGCCAGCCCTACTGATTTCAGCGTCCGGGGTTGATAAAGTTACCCTTTACAAAAAGCTCATGTCCGAGTATCTACGGAAGTTGCTCTATCAATTTCGGGACCAGATGACACGGCTAGAAAAAATTCACCGAAACCCCAATAAGAATTAAATAAAAAATTATCCAGAGGCTATATATCTAGATTTGGATGTGGCTTTATTTGTACGTGGCTCCGTCCACATATCTTTAATTTGTTAGAGATCCAAATCATTTAGAAAGAATTATAACTATATTTATGTCCATTCAGCAAGTAAAACAAGTCTTGAAATATTGTGAATGAAAAATTTGTAAATGATGTGTTAAAGTTAATTTATTGAAGATTTCCCACAGCTGGGAATAACGCTATAATAACAAAAGAAAATTATTTATGCTCTCAAAAAGAAGGTTATATATGTTTTTTTCTAAAATGAGGACTGAAAAAAATATATAGCTCAGTACTCACTGCCATGCTCACTGCAGTGAGTGACAGACAGCGCATTTTCTCGTCGACGAAAACGTGAAGTCACGGACGGACAGACAGACAGACTGACAGACGGACGGACAGACATGGCGAGCACAATGGCCTTTTTTCCATAAATGAGAAAATGCGCTAAAAATAGTTTTACGTTGAGACCTCCGGTTAAAAAAAATTTCTTTGTATTTTATCGTACGATTTTTTCAACCGATTTATTTGACTTCGCCTATGAATTAGTTCATTATTACAGAGGGAGAGAGGAAACATCAATTTAGACAATAACATAGACCCTCTGCAATAACAACGTTGTCACTAAAATTTTAGCCATACAAGATAAAAAAACAAAACCGGATAAAAGAGTCCAGCCATATCGAAATGTACGTGTCTTGAATCATATATCACTCATAAAAGTTAGGATTAGGACTCATAACCTTGCAAACCTTCAAAAAAATCTCGAAAAGGGCATTTCAAAACTCTTCTTGACATAAGCCACATAGATTTGAAGTCCTCAAACTGCTCTAACCTCAAATCTATTACATATTTTACATGAGGTATTGTTGAAATGGAAAACTATAGCACCCCGAGCAAGGGTTGGGCTGGAACTAGTTGTCGAGTCAAATTTTGGCGGGTCCATTTAATTATAAATACATTTGCCTATGATTTAGTTTATATATTTATGCAAATAAATCTGGGTTGCTTAATGCCACCAGAATGATTTTATATTTTTTTTCGTTGCATAAAAAAAATTTCAAGTTCTTTTCAAAACTTGCTCAGGCTAATGACGTCAGTAAGAGGTTTTAAATTTTTTCCGGTCTTTTATAGTGAAGTACACCAAAAATGCAAAACAAGGAACGTTCACGGAATGCTAAAGAAATGGAGAGCGAGGAGAAATTCGCGTCTTCATGCAGTTAAATTTATTCGTTACTTTAATCACTGTGTCATCGTTTTATATATCTTCCATGAAATACATACAAGTCGCCAGAAAATTTTCGACAGAAAGTATGTTTCCCAGATTTTCGATGCAAAAAATACACGATATGACCAAAAAATCTTTCTTTACATGTTTCAAGAAGATAATGAACCTCAATGCCTTCACACCACCGTATAAACTCAAACCAATTAAAATTCAATGAAACAAACGCAACCCTAAACCTTCCTTCAAAGAGTTTAGTGTTCCGCTAGCCATTAGTTTACATTGATTATGCCGCCATGTTATTATCAAAATTGATTAGTAATATATGTCACAATTGTTGAATTGCATAAAGTATTTTATTTTTGTGATATTTCTGCTCTTCCTCCCGTGGCCCGTGATAGCGCGGACGACTTGCCGGCTCGGGGACTGCGCACGACGAAGGTGGTGCACGCAGCATCACTCTGGACATCAAATAGTTCCATAAGAACATCTTATGTATTCAAAATACTTGAATAATAAATTATTTTAGTGATAATATCAGGATATAAGCAATAATCTTGTGGCCAAAAATAATCATCTTGGAAATAATCGTAAAAGTAAGGTTATTTTTATTATAGAGTTTGGCGTGGTCAAAATTTGCATTTTGTCTGAAGGACTTTATTTCTTACAAAATTATTTATATCGATCAAGTTAGTGCGTCTCAATGATGATTATGGTGATTACTAGTATTATACTAATTAAGCCGTCATCTCCTATACGATACAGCTGCACATCGAGTTTCAAATGCTTTTTACGCTCACTGAGTGGCATAATTGGCATGGTTTAATAATCGATACGCATATGGTTCGTAATAGTATTTAGTGAGTTAAAATATCAATTAAATAAAAGTACACTTGTCAACTATTGTTTAAAATTTAATTGCTATTACAACGCGATTTTTAAAAAATAATTTGAAATTTTTAGAGTTACCCTGACCCATAAACCTGTCACTTGATAAACATGAAAAATAATGATATTGAACTCTCATATGAAATAATGACATTCGAACTATTTGTTAAGATTAATTTCATTACTCTAACACGAAAGTAACAATACTATATCTTCTTTGCGCATAGAAAGTTTATTTCAACGTATAACTTTGAAACTCTGATTTACGTTCACCACTCATCTTCTAATCACGGGATATGGAGAGGGAGCCTAACCACTCGTCGTATTTTCACGGCATATGGAGAGGGAGCCGATAGAAAAATCCAAGCCTATAGCGCTGTGGTTACGAGCTCAAAGTACTAATTTACACAAGCAGCGCCAAATATACAAGGGTACAACAGATTAATCCGACGCAGCTTGGCAACGATAATTCCAGAAATTTTAATATTCTGTTATAGCGTATCCCCTCATCCCAAATACCGTCTTTCAAAGTCTCGTTAATAATAAAATGCTAATGTATTCTAACTCACATTCTATCTCTAACTCAAATGTGAGTTATTCTAACTCAAATGCTAATAACTCACATTCTATCTAAGCTAGAAATTTTATTCATATTCCGTTACAAAATTGGAGAAAAATCTTACCATTTGTTTTCTAAATTAACTTGAAAACAGCAGTAAATGACCAGATAATCNGTTACAAAATTGGAGGAAAATCTTACCATTTGTTTTCTAAATTAACTTGAAAACAGCAGTAAATGACCAGATAATCCATCTATTCAAATTTTCAGGATCGAACAGATCTTCAGAAGATGTTAATGCAGATTTTAGGAAATGCAGATTTTAGGAAATAATTTTAAATTTATTAACATTTCGAATGTAACAACATTCATTTTCAAGTTATAGGAAGTATTGAACAATTATATTTTGGAAGAAAAAAGTACATGATACACGTAAATATGATACAACAA